TCACCCTTTGGGAAAGAGTGAGGGGAGGAATTCAAAACAGCTACATGGAAATGAAAACTGAAGGAAGCAGCACAGTATTAATCAGCATGAGTTCAGAGCCTTCTGACTGGGTTAGGTGTCTCTGTGGAGAGAGAAAATTAGTTACTTATTTTGTAGAGATTGCATTTTTGCAGTCATAGAAGTGATTTACAGACAGATCCCACATAAAACTTGAATATATGTAATATGTATTGCAGAATATTTCTTCAGCAAGCTGAAAAGTCACTGGGTGCTCTTAGAGTTAGGCTGAAGAGTTTACAAGCTTTTTTTTTTTTTTTTTTATTCCTTCAGTGTGATGAACGGGGAGTTTGTCACAAGAAATCTGGCTAGCTTGGTATCTCACACTGCTTTCAACAGACAAAATTCCAGTTAGTCACTTAATAATAGTACTAGTGTTGTCATACCTCTGAGTTCCCCAGAACATGATCTCTTTTTCTGTTGTGCAAGTGGGAAAGGAAGAATTTAAACATTTCTCCAGGATTTCTGACTATCATACAGAGATTCTTATTCCACTATATTGATTAACGACCAAGCCTGGAGACCAAGGAGGCCAAATCCAAGCTTTCTTATGGCACTGTTTCTTTGGTGTGCCTCAGTTGAGGTCTTTATTTTTTGTGTGTGCTGTGCAGAAGATCCAAGTTGCAGAGTTTCAGGGAGGTACAAGGCAGGAGCACTGGAAAAGTGCAGTAAGGTTTGAATGCACTGAAAAATTGCCTGATGGGTAACAGTGTTGGGCTTCCAAGTGAATCATGATGAGCTGTGTGCTGTTAACCAGAATGATTCTAGTGTTGAATGCTAGGTAGTACTAAACATAATTGTATTTGATGTGGCCTAATACAACAGGGTTTTGCAGGGTAGGTAAATTTAAATTTTTTTAGAAGTCAGAAGTTAAGGTGAAACATCATACTAACGTGTTAAAAATTAGTCTGTCTGAAGAATGGAGAATGGCAAGGCCAGCCAAGGACTACGCCACACCAGCTGGGTCTCAGGCAAGGAAAATGAGTAAGACTGCCAGGCAAAGAAGTTGTAGACTGTCCATAACTTGGACATCTCTGTAATACATCCTTTATGTTTGTGTTCTCTGGGATTGACAGAACTGTGTTTGGTGTGGTGAGAGGGAGTTCGTAGCCAGGTGGCAAAGGCGACAAAAGGGGTTTTTTTTCAAGGGACGGTTGTCCTTGATGCTCTTCCAGTGCAGATCTGAATGTAAAATCCCTCCAAGGTTTGCATGCAGCATCACTTTGTTTTCCTTGTCTCTTTTCCAGAACTGGTCAGGAATGAAGTGCCAATTCAAACTGCTGCGCATGGCTGTTGCCTTGATCTGTAGTAAGTATCATGCAATACTTGGCACCACACATGCAATCATGTTTTGTTTGTCCTTGTCGTAAGAGTTTGTGCTGATTCAGAGTTTTGACTTTGCAGCAGTTTTGGTAGGAACTTGCAGCTGGACCTTCTGGCAGCAGAAACCACATCATTCTCAAATGCAGATTGTGGCTTTCAACATGAGCATTTGTAAATGAGGATTTGTTGTCAGCTAGCATCTGTAGCTTGTGGCATTTGTGAAGACCTGGGACCTAAATGTCTCGTCTTTGAGTATGCAAACAAGCAATGCTTTCATAATGATAATACTTAAGTTTCCTAGAGCGCTTCCTATCTGGGATGTCAACAGCATTATACGCGCATTAATTAATTATCTTTCAGCCATATTCCTAGGGTGGCACGATAAGGGAAACTAGGCTGTGTATTCATCACAGACAATTGTCTTCAGTCATCGCTTTTTTTTTATGGTTCTTGTATAAATTTTGGAAGGCAAACATTACCCCACCTGTCTACACTTCCATGAACCCAGACCACTTACCAGCCACTGGGGAGACCTCATGTCTGTGCGCCGCAACCCTTTCGTAGCCATGGCTTCCCAGCTTCCCTATGCTCACTGTACAAGGCGGTTTCCCCCCCTCCATCTCTTCAGGGATACAGTGCTACCTGCAAGACGGACTTAAGAAGGGATAGACCTAGACAATCAATTTCTTTTTCCTTCTTTGTTCCAGTGAGCTTTGAATTTGGAAGAGCCGTGTGGCTGCGATTCCACCCCTCTGCTTACCCACCGTGCCCACACCCCAGCTTTATGGCTCACCTGGGAGGGGTGATGGTTGGAATCACCCTTGGCGTCATCATCCTGAGGAACTATGAGCAGAGACTCCAAGATCAGACTTTATGGTGGATCTTCCTTTCTATTTATGTAATTTTTGTCTTGTTTGCCATCTTCTGGAACATTTTTGCCTACAGCCTGTTGGATCTAAAGCTACCTCCCCCTCCTTGAAAACATAGGACAGAAAACTCAAGAGCGGAAGTAATCTGTCAGCTATATTAAATGAACGAAGATGGAGGATCTATTTTTATATTCAACTTAGGGGAGGATAATTCTTTTGAACACAAGTGTGTGCTGGAGAAGATGCCTAAAGATCTCACGAAAAAATGGGCTGATCAGTTTGTTCACAAATCTAGCAGATACTGTAATATTGGCTGGCCTGGACCCTGCAGTTTCTCCACTGCCAGGACTCCCATTGGGCAGCTTGTACCTGGGCACATATCACGCGGTTTGTTAGCACACATGAATATTTTGTATGAGATATTTGTATTTTCCAGGTCACTGCTGGAATTATGGCCAGTTGTTGAATGAACCTCCTCAATATTACTGAATACTAAAAGGGAGAAAGAGCAGACATTTACTAGAGACTCGCATTGTACTCACAAGGCAGCTTGGGTTTGGTTTCTACAGACACATCTGCCTGTTCAGCCATGCCAGTGCCACTGTCTAATTACTTGAATGGTTCCTAAGATATTTAGCCTATGGTGAAACCTGTCTTATGCACCTTTCAAAGGAATCAGGAGAACTTGATCACCCAAAGTGATGGAGACTGGTCTTCAACTACAGGTCAAATGAAATTGCACTATAAACCTTGGGAACTCTTAGACTGTTGTGGACACCCAGCCAGAGGTGACTTTTACTGTGCATGTTTCACTTGATTTTTCATTATTTCCCCCCTGTGCCCCACCCCCC